TTATTATTATTATTTGTATTGCTATTATTATTATTTTAGTATTATGTTTATTATTATATTAAAACAATATTTTTTTAATTCTTTTTTGTAATTATTAAAGGTCACCTATCATGCTATCTTTAGGCAATAGCACAGGTCTCAGATATATCAAAAATATATAAAAACATGTCTATGAAGTGTTTTGCTCCAAACACCAAACAGATCACCCATTCTAGCCATGCCTCATATCCCTCTATTTCACTTCCTGTTTCTAAAGTGCTGATTTAGGGTATAAAGCTTTAAAAAATAAAAAGGAGGGGTCTGAGCTCATGTGGGACCCGGCAGCTACTGTCTAAACTAAATGCTGCCGTGATGAAACGCCATATCATGGATGATCAAGGATTCTCTCTGAAACAGTATGGAGCTCAAAGGCTTTCTCTCTTGCCGGTTATACCACAAGGTGAGTTCCTTTTGATTTCCTGCTTCTTCACACACATGCTCTCCAGTACAGGTTAGCTCTGAGTGTTAGCGATGCTAATGTAAACACCGACCATATTACGTCCAAAACAGTCGAGTATTGTTTCTGATAGCAACTTTCTGATTGAGCCGTGGGTCCACATTTCAGATATTACGTCATATCGGACGCAAATCTGGATCAGCCCCGTTTTTAGAGATTTGGGTACGGAGGAAAAGAGAGAGGGTTTTATTTTCTGACGCTGCGTGAGTTCCCTGACACACCGGGGACACACCGGGGACATACCGGGGACACACCGGGGACACACCGGGGACTCACCGGGGACACACCGGGGACACACCGGGGACACATGGTGATGTAGAGAAGACATAAAAAAGTGCATTTTGCAGGATAGGTTCCCTTTAATACTATCATAATAATATCAATTTGCCTTTTAAAGAAATTAACACATTCAAAGTGGATTTATTAGCGGACAGTCTGTGGTAGAGATGAGACAGAGGAACGAAACGGGTTGTATCCGCTACTTTTCTCTTTCGTATAGTCCGTTCGTTCACACGAGGCCGTAACGGAACTGCGGAAACGGACCCCTAAAATGATAACGGGTCCCAAGGTGGGTAAATCTGCGGACAAAACGCTCTGGGGGGCCAAACGGCTCCGTGTGTACGCCCTACACGATCATTTCCTGATAACGATGATGCCATAGCCCCGCCTCTCCCCACCTCTGCTGCTCACTGCTGTAGCATGGTCAGTAGCAGTAGCAGTAGCATTAGCTAGTGCTACTGCTACTGACCATGCTACAGATGTTAGTGCAACATCTACAGCTCCTCGACCACAACCATCAGCAACAAGTGGACATGGAGTACTACATGAACTACATGTTGCTAAATCCACCGCGGAGAATAACCAGAAGGGCAACCAGGCAACCATGGCAACCATGCTCGGGGGTCTTCTTCGCTGCTTTTGGTGTATTTTGTGGCGGAAGTACAGCGCCACTTACAGGCCCGGCATATGTACTACAGCGTCTCCAGCGGGTCGAGCGGTCTCGTGTGGACGGAAGACTTTTTTTTGGATCGATTTCGGTTCGTTTGCGTTTCGTTTGCGTTCCCGTGGAAATGGGGCCTTAATTAGAGGTCTGACTCGTTTACGGAGAGCATGCTTAGGGTAAATAGCTGGGCGAACACTATGGAAAATAGTCCCAAACGACTCCCTAATTACAGGTAGATTCCATGCTGATGGGCAGTGTTACAAAGTAATAAGTCATTCGGTAACGCAGTAATGAAACGCGTTACTGTTATACATTCAGTAATCACACTACAGTTACTGACATTGCTCCCTTTGACAGACTAGAGCACGGGGGCCAAATCCGGCCCGTGACTTCATGTCATGCGGCCCCACAAGAGCTCTGAAAGAATATCATATGTTTATTATACGGTTACATGCTTTACAGAAGCACATTGCCCATAAACTACATGTCCCACAATGCATCTCATTTTTTGACACTGAAGAGACTTGCAATTATTCGCCCCAGACTTCTGCTCTCAGACGTAGTTAATCATGAAGTTATTACCCAATCCCATAATAATCCAATGCAGAGGCAATCATGTGATATAATACATTATTTTATATATATTATATATTTATATATATATATATAAATATAGTCTTAAAGTTACAACCGGCCCTTTGAGTGCCACCATAATGCTGATGTGGCCCGCCATGAAACTGAGCTTGACCTCCCTGGACTAGAGGGTTTATATTTGCGCTTTTAACGTTTTAAGTTTTGGCTAGGCTGTTGCTGAGTAATGCAAAAGTAATGTAAAGAGTAACAAGTTACTTTATGTTGAGAGTAACTAAGTAAAGTAATATATTACCTTTATTTATTAAGGCGGCGGAGGC